ACATTGAAAAGACATTGAATGATGAAGTGGGGAGATTAATGTCTCTGTATTGACTGACATGAATGGCATTTCCTTTTGAAAATGCAATGTAATACACTGTAAAGTTATATGTAATCCAATGTAATATAAACAAGGTTATGATGATAATAAATAAAAATCAGCTATTTGAGGGAGGCTTCAATAAGTTTGTGGAAAAATGGAGTGAAAATCTAAGTTTGTTTTGATGCAAAAAGTAATTGAAATGCATGTATAGCTTTTTTACAACAACAACAACAAAAAAAAACTACAAGTACGACTCAAGAATATGTGTTTTATGGAGCCCTCCAGAGTCAGCTAGAGTGGTGCAGACAGTAGTATGCTACCCTGCAATTCTGGAGCTGCAGGAAAGACTAGGGATTGGATCTGATGTATGTGAAATATACTTGGTGTGTGTGAATGCACCCTAATTCTGGCTGGCTGGAAGGCTGGGACAGGGTTCACAGAAGATGATCCCATCAAAAGTGCTTGTCTGCCTCCCTCTCTCCTTTCTTTTAAGAAACAAACTTTAAAAATAATATTTTTTTAAAAAGAAACCCTACCGATGATTCTTATGTATCCTAAATTTTGAAAACTACAGCTATCATGATTTAATGTTCTCCTTTTCCTCACTTCATCCTTCACAAAGGCTGCATCCTTTCAATTTCCATACAAATATGCACGTAAGTTACAGCCAGTGCAGAAGATGGGTTCTATTTAACATAAATAACTACACACTACTCTTTATTCTCCCCTCTAATGTCTATGAACCTTCTAAACATCTACTAATATATTTGAAATGTTTTAAGTGGCTAATGGGAAGAAACAGTATGAAAGGGATGCTCTGAAGAACTTTTTACCAAAAGATTGTATCTTTTCTTACCTATAAATTTCAACAAAGGCACTACTATAACACCAAGAAACTGAATGTAGTCACAATGATACACAATTTTGGTCAGTTTGACTCATGCTCTCCTAATTCTCACAACCAAATAAAACCACAGAAGGAACTATGTTATATGCCCATAAATGTTAACAAACCAAAACAAAACTTCTAAGAATTATTTTAAACTCAAATTTTTAGACAGCTTTATAATAGCCTGGGCAGATATTTTAAGATTTAATAAAGAATTCAAATAAAAATTCCAATATTCTCAAATGTCACACCATAAAGTGTGTTACATACTTCACGTCAGTAAATATTTGGAAAATCTATTCCTAGTCTAAAGATGAAAAGCTAACATAGACCCTGGGATATTATTGACAATCAATTGAATGTCTGTTGAAGAAGAAAGTAATACAGTATAATGGAACTTTGCTTAGTACCAAAGTAAATTTCAATAAAGATAATCATAATTTGTAGGAAGAAAACTTCCAGTTTCTAAAAATTATCATCATAAAATTAAAGTGACTATAAAGATCAGGCAATTTTATATCTTAAATTTAAAAAACTTCAAAAGATAATATTCAGAAGGAACAAACAGTTTGGAAGATACTTTCCTCAATAAAATATTTGTTATGTTATAATGCAGATTTAGGCACAATGGTTAAAGTGCTGAACTCCCACATGGCCCACCACAGTTCAAGTTCTGGACCTGGCAATTTGAAACAAGCCTGACACAGTGTGACCATGCCCAAATATCCCAGGAGGAGAATGGAATAGATGGGATTATGGTGTGGCATCCCTTTGCCAGGTGATTTCTCACTTTCACTCTCACTGTTTCTTTCTCTGATGACTGACCGTGCACTATGGCAAAAACTTTTAAAAAACAGTTTTTTTAAATGAAATAAAATAAAGTGAAAATTCAATTTATTGAACATAATCTCAGAATGAAAATAACAACTATTAATTTATTAACTTAAGAAAAGTGTTTGGGACCAGCAGCTAGTGTAATGGTTATTTTGCTGAACTCCCATGTAGCCAACCGTGGTTCGAGTCCCGGACAAAGTGACTTAAACTCACGCTGGGCTCATGTGCGTGTGTGCCCAAGGTCCCGAGAGGGGAATGGAGGAGAAGGGATTGCAGCATGGCCATTCCCTCCTGGGGGGTGATTTCTCGCTTTCTATCTCTCTGTTCTCTCTGTGTCTTTCTAGTGAGTACACGCACCCTATAGCAAAAATCTCTCAAAAAAAAAAAAAAACAAAAGAAAAAAATGTGTTCAACAATATACATTATATATCAATATGACATATATACACATTTAACATAGTCAAGTTTCTGGGAAATACATAGACATAAATACATTAGACTAGATTTATATAATCTCACAGTAAAAAATTTCACCATTATAAGTACAACTTCAAGACATTAAACAAGGTACATTTTGAAACATTTCCTCATGGCCAATTTATAAAACAACTCAAAATGAAAACAATTTCTGATCATTTATAATGTATATGCCTATATATTGATAGAGGATCCCAAGCCAAGTTGTAAAACTACTGGCTTATTTCTCATAAATGTTAGACCATACTGAAGTAGACTCTCTCTACCTAAGAAAAATTATTCTCTTGGGACCAGCAGTTAGAGTAATGGCTATATTGCTGGACTCCCATGTATTCGACCGCGGTTGAAGTCCCAGACCAGTGGATTAAACTCATGCCTGGCACATGTGTGTGCGTGCCTAAGATCCCGAGAGGAGAATGGAGAAGAAAAAAATCACCCCTGTGAGATGACTTCCTGCTTTCTGTCTCTTTGTCTCTCTCCTTCTGGTGAGCACATGCACCCTAAAGCAAAAAAAAAAAAAAAAAAAAAAAACTCTCCAAAAAAAATATTATTCTCTTTTACAAAACAAATTTGCCATTTATATATATAACTCTTATCACTTTTTAAAAGTAATTTCTCAAACAATTAGGAACCTACCTTTAAAGACTTTTAAATACAATTTAACTGTAGAATTCTTTGAATAAAACATAAATCTTAATTTCCATAACAAACCATTCTTAATTATCACAATAATGAAGAGAAAAACAGGTCACACATGATTAAATCTAATATACATTTCACTTAGCTAAGCTGAACCTTAGAATCTATTTCTGAAGGCAATCTGACCTGCTAGAGTATAAGGGTTTTGTTGTACTATTTTTATGTTTTTGTGGTAAATACATAATTTACCATGTGAAATTTATCCTCATAAAGTCTCTAGTATACAGTATTAACTATAGGCACATCATCCTACAGCAGATCTCTGGAATGTATTCCATCTTGCATAACTGAAACTTTAAACCCTTTGAACAATTGTCCACTTCCCTCTACCCACAGTCGTTGTCAATTACCATTCTACTTTCTGCCTCTTTGAGTTTGATATTTTATAACTTGCATATGTGGAATCACAGTATTTCTCATTCTGTTACTGTCTTAGTATCTTCTAGTTTTGTCCAAGTTGTCATATATAGTAGAATGTCCTTTTTAAAGGTTGAATAGTATGCAATTGAAAGGATGGATACATGTGTACACATGCATACATAAATACAAACACACACACACACACACACACACACACACACACACATTTTCTTATCCATTAATTTTTCAGTGGGTATTTAGTTTATTCCCATATAGTAAATAGTCTAAACAGTACTGCCATAAATACAGGATTACAAATATCTTATCAAGACTCTGATTTCGATTCTTTTAGATAACTATCCAGAAGGGGACTGGTGAATCACATGGTAGTATTATTTGTTTGTTTGTTTTTTTTGGGGGGGGGGTTGGGGTCTTGTTTTGTTATTGTTTCCTGATGCAAAGCATCAGGTATTATTGAACTTATGCAAATAACCCTTCTGCTACAAAATGAGAATACTCACAAATATTTTCCAATTCCAGAGGGGTCAGGAGGGAGAAAAGTTTATGTTTCAATTCAGAAAAACAAACCAACAAATAACATTT